CAGAGCCAGTGAGGCAGTCTCTTGTGCACTAATCCCAGCCATTATAGTACAAGAGAGTAGTTGAAAAAGAAATGGAAAATGCAGAAGATGATTTCCTTCTCAATTAATTAACACAGCTGTTTATGACTTTGAGCAGACAATTTTCTTTAGCTGTTAATTTACTAACTTACCGCTTATACGTCTCTCTTGCTTGCTGGATTCTCCTGAGGAATAAAATCCACAGCAGCAGAAGGAAGGGAGAATCCAGTATTACTGCCACCATCTTTAGCTACTGAAATGAGAGATATCTCAACTAGCTTTCCAGATGGTGCTTTTCGATAGCAAACCATCCTTGCTTGGAACAGAAATAGTTTTATTAAACGATCTAATTTCCACGGAATCCCTTAAAACCTCCGCGGAGCCTTTCTGCTAGTTTTCTGGCTTCATCAAACCTTCCTAAATGCAACTACAATGAGACATATTCACAAGCAAGATCCTCCTCAAAAAGCAAATCATCTATGATTAGGCACATTATCAGAAAAGCATTCAGATTATATGCCTACATTTCAACTTCTGAAAGCAATGACTCAAATACTTGTCAGATATCAGAATTTCACTTCGCCATAAAAATCAGTCCTGATTTGCCTTTTGAAACCTTAGGAAGCATCAGCATCTCCCACGCATGCTTCTGAATGTGTCAAGTGTGTTGTTTCCAGCATCTCCTATAGCCTCTTTCTCAAGCCAAGACTACAAGGGAGAGCTTCAACAGCTACACTGTAGATTGTTTGAAGTTTTCTCAAATGTTTATCACAAATCCCTTTCTTTTCTGACTCCATAATATCGACGTTTGACCCATCATCATTTCCTTTTTTATCACCAAGAAACATATGATAATCTTGAAAAACATTTTCATTCTCCCCTCCAAGCGCAACCGTCTGCGCCTTTAACTTGTTAAGGTATGCCAGTTCCATCTGAAGATTCTAAACTCAAAGAGCCTTTGACCGTGGACAAACCCTCAAAGGCTCAAAACCATTCTGCATAAGAGCAGGAGCAGCCGCATCATTCAAGTTATGATCCGATTCCCCAGCTGAAGCATAAATCCAAACTCCAGGCACCTTTTCAACCCACAGATGAGAAACAAAGAGAGATGATTTCACTGAAAAATGAATAATCCTTCCTCCACCAATGATAACAATCACCAATTGTACCTAACAAAAACAACAAAATCACCTCCAAAGTTACCCAGAGAGACAAACAAGAGAAAAATCAAAAGGGTGTTACTGATTCCATGAGACAACATTAATTATTTGAGGCAACCCCTAAAAAGATCAACAATTAATCCTAAGATTACAAACAACTAAACATCCCAGATAACAAAACAATATAAATACTAAAAAGGGTATCCTTAATTCTCCAAAACAACATTAATCAACACACACATTCTCACTAACAAAAGCAATCAACCACACCATTACAGTCCAAAAACAGGAAAAAAAATATTGTACTGATTAATATATATATTTTTTTTATTAATGTGGGTGTCCGGATCAACTTGCGCGCACCATGACTAATCCCACGGGCCCTGAAGTTAACGACCATGTAAACCTCCAGTGGCCATCATATGAGCAGCCAAGGATTCGAACCTGAGACCATAAAAGGAGCAAACCCCTTAGTCCCAAGTTTTTACCACTTAACCACCACTAATTAATATTAATAACACTACTCATTGAGTTTACATTATTATCTACACCTTTAGTTCTATTTGCTAATTATTAGTTGACCAAATATCTACCAATTAGATAATTACATTACCAGGTGAATAATAAAAGATTATTAATTTGCCAATTATACCGTTAATTGTATGATTATCATACTACTTCATACCGATTATATAATTGGTTGTCCATTACTTCTAATTGGCTCATCACCTTAGAAATAGAGATTAATAACATCACTAATTTGTTAATCAAACATCCTCAAGGGCTCGGTTTAATGACCAGGTTGTGTGCTTTCTCTCTTGACTTTCTGAATTCGAATCTAGGAACCAGCATCCACAGGAGTACTATCATTTGACATGTAAGCTAGCCCGAGAATATGATGTCCTGTTTGTTTCTTGTTTTGATTCCTCTCTACCTTCATTTTGGTCATCTTCTAGTAATTTCAAAGGGCTTGCAACCCAGTCAACTCTAATGTTCTAGCTTCTAGGACTGTTAACTTTATTAGGAACCGGTAGAGGCTCCATTGGTTGTGTTACTCACTTGTCATTAATGAAAGAAATTGATTTTTATATTTTGGAAATGAAAGGATATTATAGTTTTTTCATTAATAGGTATCGTGAGTATGCCGGTGATCAAAGCCTTAGGTGATTCCTTTTGTGGGACTAAATTATGACAGCACCATATTGTATCTGCATCTCTAGCAAAAAGAGAGACAAAAGGGGTTTGCATGATTAAAATCTGGGATTTCTTTGAACACTTTAGCTTGGCTTTTATGGAATGGACATGGCAGATATACATCATATCTTATTTTTCCACTAAAAAATGGCACCACATGCTGCATTTATCTTATGCTGCACTTTCATGTTGCTAGCTATATGCTTTTTATAATCTTCTCTGAGTATTGGTTTGGTGAAGCAGTCGAAAACGTCTTTCTTGCTATAAACCTAAACATATTCTCAGTGTTTCAAGGTGCATCGAGCTCAGAGATGGTGGCTTGCAACAAAGTTTATCAAAAGTGTCAGTCTTTCTAGTATCTAAATATATATATTCCATCGCCAAGTGTCTCTTATATGTTTATGTTTCCAAATCTTGGGATTTGAATCCTCACCAATGTGGTGTGCTTGGTTGCATACCTGACCTTCTCTACCGTATAGCGTGGTTAAGCTTGTGAAACTTGTGGTAGAAACTACAGCTATCTTCGGTCTTCATTTTTGGAGAATTAATGGAAAATAGTAGAAGCATGGACCTCTGCCTCTGATCAAGACCCTTCTTATTGAGATATTATTGGAGATTTAATAGAAAATAGTAGAAGCATGGTCCCTCGATTTTTATAAAACTCAATTTTAGTTTAAAATTTTATTTTTCTTATTTTTAATTAGTTCATAATTTGAGAGAGGAAAGAAAAAATAACCTTATTCTTATAGTTTAAAGACAAAGTTTTGGTTAATATTGATTATAACCATAAAAAATATCAATTTTAATATCAATGAATTTCATTTGATGAAAAAAATTTATTCTAAATATTCTTTTATCTAAACTTTACATGTGTTGGTAGATCTAAGTTCATGAATGATTTTAGTTTCAGATGGATTTTAGTTAATTTTTTTGCAGTTTTTAGGTTGTTTAAGACTATATATAGATTTATCAAATTATTTAGAACGTTTTATATATGTTTCAGGGTAATTTATTTTAGTTATATAAATAATTTTTAATTTATTTAATTAAATGTATGCATAAAAATTTTAAATTCATAATTAAGAATTTTTATGTTAAAAAACACTTATAAAATGTTGCCATTATATTTATTTTTTTTAAAAAAAAAATTATCTGACTCTAAATAAAATACAGCTCAAATAGCTAGTAATTTCTGAATGACATGGGTATGCATGTGTAATTAACTTTTTTTTTTCTATTTATTATAATGCTTGCCAACTATTATCATGGGCTTCTTTTTTTTCCATCCTATATGTATACCCAATGTTGGACATATCAGATTGACTATATACATCCACGACAAGGGTTAATGTTCGAATAATTCCCGCATTGATTGAAAAATTAAACTGTAAGAAATTGTTTAGGATAGCATTTATCAATATTGCAACGAATTTCCTTCTTTAATTTGGCAGGGAACATGGTGTGAGAGCTTCTGGAATTGAAGAATATTTTTAAGCACTGGAGTCCACTATGAAATTTAAAAATATATACTGGTACATAATTTTTTTTATTAGAATGAAATTGTGAAGGGGCTGCTAAAGTGGGAGTAGTTAGTTTCCCACTGAAAATATTAATAACAGCAAAAATCTTTCAAAATTATTCTAAAAAGAAAAATCCTCGTAAACAAATAATTGACATTATAATCTCGGTGTCTTTCTGTGTACCTTCTGTTCTTCCTCAAGAATTTGCTCATTAATATTCTTACTGTTACTTGTTATTTGATGTTTGCACTTTGCCAGGCTTATACATCAGGCGATCAATCCACTTGCTAGCCACCATATATATATATATATACCAGCTACAGGAACAACAAGAGGCATGCTTATTTCTCACAGCACTGTGTGGAATGATATTGGCGATTGTCCAAGAGTTTGCTAGGGTTCCAAACTCATACTGTATACTTGTTTAAGTTCTTTAAAAGTGAAATGACAGAGAGGATTCCATTTAGATTTCAAGAATGATACCACGTTTTTTCTTACTTAAATATAATTTGGTTGTTTAAGCTTCTCTCCCTATCAAAGATAATTGAAACAATATACGATCACCTAATCCACCATCTCTGGCTAATTATAATGATGTTAGTTATTTGGTATTGCAGTACACATTAATTTAATTTCTTAAATATTTTCAATAATTTTAATATATTAATATAAAAAGTAAAAAAATCTAAAAAATATATCATTTTCAATAAAAAAATACTTTTACATAAACATCTTAGAGCTCAACATCAAACACATCAAGACACTAAGCTGCATGTACTCTCGCCAATTATTTGGGTATTGATTAGGAAATGTTCCATTTTCTTCACTTCTAGAAAAGTCTCTTGGCGGCTATAGTTGACGACGCTATAAACAGCCGAGACTTTTCTTGACTCGGATGCTTTGCTTATTTCTTTGGTGTCATGTCCATTGCACTTGGTTTCCTTTGAAATACAGTATTGTTTGTTGGGGAAATAATTCCAAAAGAGGAAATGTAAGCATGGGCCATTGTTTGCTAAATGATTATGGTGGCAGAGTGGCTACAAACTCATATAAATAGAAGAGACTAGAGAGGGAGTCAAGCAAGTTGGCTTATGTTTCGTGAGGAGTCATGGGAATCTCTAGTAAATTCTTGTACCTGGCTCTTTTTGTCTTGAGCATTGCTAGTGCTTTGAATGGCATTGATTATGGAGGTGATATGGGTGATGAAAGCAACTATGGTGGCCGAAGTGGATGGAAGTCTGACAACGATGATAACAGTGATAATTGCTATAAAAATTGGCGAAGTTGTGGAAGCTTTTTCGGGAATGGTAGAGATTTTAGCACCCAAGGTAAAGGGGGTAGTCATGGTAGTGGTGGTGATAGTGGTGGAGGAGGAGGAGGAGGTGGAGGTGGAGGTGGAGGTGGAGGTGGTGGACGTCATGGAGATGAAGGAGGTGGACATGGAGAAGGGTATGGGGCTGGGGCAGGTGGTGGTGATGCTAGTGTAGGAGGAGGAGGCGGCGGCGGAGATGGTGGAGGTGGTGGAGGTGTAAGTGGTGGGTTTGGTCATGGTAAAGGCTATGGATTTGGGGCTGGTGTTGGCGAAAATGGTGGTGCCGGTGGAGGAGGAGGAGGAGAGGGTGGCGGTGGAGGAAAAATGGTCAGTGGAGGATTTGGTCATGGAAGTGGATATGGTGCTGGAGAGGGTATTGGAGGTGGAGGTAATGCAAGTGGTGATATTGGTGGTGGGGGAGGAGGAGGAGAGGGAGGTGATAGTAATGGTAATGGTAATGGTGAAGGATTTGGACATGGTGAAGGCAGTGGTTTTGGAGTTGGTGGGGGCAAAGCAGCGCCTACAGGACAAGGTGGTTACAAGGGTCATAATAGCAACAATGGCGTTGGCATGGGATTTGGATTTGGCATTGGCTTTGGGTTTGGTATTGGAAATGTTGAAGGAAATGATTCAAACGATAGTGATAATGGCAATCCTTAAAACGGACGTACATGATTGGTTGACCCTCGAAATTCAGTGTGAACAGAGCAGCAAGCTTGGGATAATTCTTTATAGCAATGCTCTAAATTAACGGATATAAAATGCTCATCACTCTCATATCATTTAGATGACTTCTCCATTTCATCTCCGGAATAAAAGTTCCATTTTCTCAAGCTAGCAAGCTCGTGTTAGTTTCTTTGAGAGATTGCTTTGTCAATGGCTATAAACAAGCTAGAAGCAATGTTCTAGTTTCCTCGACTGGTCATGATGACATGAACATATTGGTTGTTGTGACACAAATTGTCACACAGCTAGCATTTGCACTCCTCATCAAGCTTGAAACTTTAATGCTTAGAAATTCACGTAGTGGAAATATAGTATCTATGTAGGATGAAGATCCATAGAATCTTACAGTGCGTTTTATTTCATATTTTTATTTATGCCCCTTTAAATAAATATAAATTAGTAATCAAATACTAATTTATAATCAATTTTTATGCTAAAGATGTCTCTGCTCAATCACAAACTAAATTCATAAAAATATTTTTATTTTTAATGACTCCAATATAAAAAATAAATAAAAAAATCTCCTTTTCCCATAGTAATTGTATCCCGCGGAAGTTCGAATCTTGGATAAACATGCAAGGAGAGAACCTATCAGGGGTTGGGCAAAAAAAAAAAAAAAAACTATTTTGGCAAAGTGCATCTAAACCCTTCAACTATTATACAAATCTCGATCAGGTCCCCATCTACAAGAAGATTCAAATATTCAATTTGACAACTAATCCATCATATTCATAAACTGTCAACCTTTCAAGTAGTTTACATACATTTATCTTTGCCATCAATAGAACGATATCATCTTGCTCATGATCAACACAACAAATTCTCTTGTAGAAAACCTAGCTACCATTAATTAATGTTGGTAAGTTATATATTCATTAAATTTAAGACGAAGCTATACAAGATTTTTCTTTATTCTTGCGATGAGGTCCAGTATCAATCTGGAAATTCTGGTGACTTTTGCCTCTTGAAACCTGTACTTAACCTGTATTAGCTTTTAAATACAAAACTGAATGTATAATTAAAATGTTTAAATTCTTAAATTAAAAATAGGGTTCGTGTAACATATTTAATTTCTAACATATGAAAGCATCAAATACAACATTTTCTCATCCAAACAAATACATCCAACTATGATAATTTACTTCATAATAATATTTATTGTAGAAGCTAATCAAATACAACTTGAGTGAAAAATAACAATAAAATAAAATAAAATCCCACAACATTTGAATTGGTTTCATTTTAGGGATTAAACAACCTAATTTCGAGGATCAATCCCTGGAAGGAAGAAATCACGTTAATTAAATAGGAGAAATTGTGCTTATAAAATTGTTACCAGGCACGCTATTTATCGAAAATCATCAATAATTAACCAGTTCAGCAAGATTATATTATTTCAGTGCTACTACTCAAGGCAGTGCACCACCACCTCCTCCTCCTCCTCCTCCATTTATTATTTCAGTGCTCCTACTCAAGGCAACGCACCTCCAAACCCTCCTCCAGCTCCGCCACCGTATCCACCACCAATCCCACCACCTAAAGGATCATCTCTTCCACTGTCACCACTGCCGCTGCCGCCACCAAATCCTCCAATTCCAGACCCCAATCCACCTCCAGCTCCAGCTCCAGCTCCACCTCCAAAGCCAAACCCTCCACCATTTTCATCACCACCACCACCTCCTCCTCCCCCTCCTCCACCACCAAGCCCTCCCAGTCCAGCTCCCCCACCCAAACCAGCACCAGCACCACTACCAAATCCAGAACCAAAGTCATAACCAGGAAAGTAATCAAAGTAGAACGTCTTACCCTCATGAAATGCATCCTTTTTGCCCATTGCTACCTTCCTAGCATCAGTGCCAAAAACAAGTGCAAGAAACAATACCAAAATAAGCCTCGTAGTCATCATTGAATAATTACTGTAACTATGGCTTGCAATACTACTCTACCATAGCCAAACCAGGAGAGAATTTATAGCGATAAAATCTCAATAATTATAGTCGATGAAAACAATGGTGCAGTTGAGAATTAATGTTACAAATTCTACTCACCCAATCATCTTTTCTCGCTGCTTACAGAGTTAATTAATATTCATCTGCCTCTAGTGAAAAACTGGCCCTCTCAGCACCGCTCCATACAAGTGTCCATGATTGATTAACCCAGCTAGCTAGATAGCTAGCAATAGAATTCAACTTTTGCTACTCTATATATTATCATTTATCAATAGCATTCATTTATTTTTTTAACAACCTGAATATTTTTGTGTATTAACTGAAATTATTATTTTTTTTTAATTTTAGTAAGGTAATTATGCGATGCATTTACAACGGATTAGTTTTTGCTCGGTAGCTACCTCCTTAAATTTGAACAAGATAACATGAGAAGCTATTCAAATTTTCTGCTAAAAAATTAACAAATATAAACAAAATATCGATATAAATTTTTTATTGATAAATTACAATGAACTTCACCAAAATTCTTCATTGTATCCATAACATGATAGAAATATTATCTATGTATATACTAATAAAATTACAATAAAAAAATAAATTAGAAAAATAAATGATATAATGGCATGTTATTTATATAGATAAAATTACTAATAAAATAACTTGTTAGTGAAATCAATTTGTAATATCATACGTAATATTTAACTTATGACTTGATAAGTAACCCTCATCCTTTCCCTCCCTCTCCCTCATTTCTTCTTCTCCTTCATTTTTTTTTTTGCAAATAACAACAAATCATCCTTTGTTTTATCACAAATCAAACTTTCATTAACACAAATTCGGTCACCCCAACACTCAGTTTGTCAGCATCTCTGTTCTAATTCATTTTTTTAGAATTTTCCACATCAAACAAGTAAAACTACTCATGTCTTGTTTAAACTTAATTTTAAATGTTAATTTTTATTGTATATTTTTGTAGCATATTTAGTTTGTTTGTGTATTTACTTGTTTTATAGCTTTTTTCTATAGAAATTTATTGCGTGAATTCGTGATGAAACTCTTTTGCCTGGGATACTAAAAAATTGACATGTTTCTAAATTTATGCATGTAGTAATACTTTAAATATGTAGAGTTGATCGAGTACAGAACATGTAGGAATATTTGCTATAAACCCAGAATTAAAAATGGAAAAACTCTTGTCACATATATAAAACTTAAATATTTTTTAATCAATCCTAGACTGCAAAAGTTATTAATGTCTTTAAAGAATGTTGATCACATAACTTCATTCACTTGATGTTGTTGATAGAGTCATGGTGCATATATCCTATGGTAAAGCTTGAAAACATTTTAATATAGTCCATCCTTAATTTTCAATGGAATCAAGGAATGTTTGTTTTAGGTTATGTATAGATAGATTCAATTTATTCAAGTCATTTGCACTCTTTATTCTTGCTAAATACTCATGATTTATAACTTTTCACTGAAAATGTTTTTATTTCTGGTCATACCTGGTTCTAATAGTCCGAGTTAAAATATAGATATTTGTCTTTAACTATTGATTAATGAGTTGAAGCAATTATGATCATATGTAACTCTGACTTATCATGTTTTGAATAAATAAAATTTTCAACTAAAGACAGCTGTGATGTGGACTACTAATGATTTTTCAGCGTATAAAATGGTTTATGATTAAATCACATATGAAAAACTAGTATGTTCATACTGTATGGAAAATAACAAGGTCTTTTTAGAAAATGGTGGCAAAATGTCTTTTTCTAATTACCACTAGCAATTCATATTAATAGATTATAAGTACAAAAAGAATTTTTTTGTGTTGGTAAAGTCAAAAAGGATGTTGCATTGCCAATACTATTGATTAAATAATTGTATGATGTGGTCTTGTAGTATGATAATATTATGTTTGGTTTTCAATCTGGTAAGCAAATTTATTTAATTTTGGTGTGATTCACAATTGGGTAAAATAAAATATTTTTTTTAGAGCTTCCTTAATAGATGACTAATCTATCCCGTGATAAACTTGATGTCATACACATTAAAAAGAACATTCTTGAAAACATTAACACGACTATAAATATGAAAGGAAAGACAAATGATAACACGAAAGCTAGAATGAATATACATTCTCCACTCATAAATACATACAAAATTACTGATAAAATAACTCCATCAAAAAATTTCAAAGAGTTGGAAAAAAACTCCACTCTCATACCACTAAGAATCACTAATAGAATAACTCCATCATTAAAATTTGAAGAGTTGAAAAAAAATTACTCTTCCATGTAATTGAAAATCACATATAGAATCACCGACGGATTGAAATTGTGTTAGTGATATTTTGGGGGTTCTAAAAATGTTCAATTTAATTGAAATTTTAATTTTTAATCATATACAAAATTTAGGATAAAATTCAAAAATTAATAAAAAATTTTATTTTCTATTTGTGATTCTGTAAGTAAAAAAAACTCTAATTCAAAGACCAGATCCCTAACTTTCTTCAAACTTGTTTTCTCTTCTTCTCTCATTCTTATTCTCTATAACATTTGCTCTTCCTCCCTCTCCCTACATTTTCTTCTTCTTATTCTCTCTTCCTCTTTATTATCAACACCTTCTTCTTTATCTTTCTATTATTTCTTCTTCTTTTTTGTTCTTCTTCTTCTTCTTTTTCTCTCAATTTCTCTCCTCTCTTTCCTTTTTTTTTTTTATCATTTTCCGGCAATTAACACACCTTCAGCAACTCATAAACCTTCAACAAGCTTTTGAGAACTTTTCAAAAATATTTTTTTATTTTATTAAGTTGTTTCAAATATATATATATATATATATATATATTAGGGATTTTTGGTTTTTTCAATTTAATTTATTTGTTTAAGATATTAGGGGTTTAAATGTTTTATGTTGGATGCATTAGAATGTTGGAATTGTATATTTTTGGCTAAATTAGGTAAAATGGTGATAGTCTTAATGTTTTAATGATGTAAAGATACTTAAATGTGATTATCATGATTTTAAATTGGTGTTATTGTGTAAATTATAAGTTGATATGTTTCTGGAAAGTTTTGTATATATGTGTTTAAGTAAAGGATGGTTAATTAAAAACACATTAAATGTTTAAGATAACATGGGAAGGTGAACATATGGAAATTCAAGACCTTGATATGTATATGTTTGCAACCAAATAAAAATGTGAGTTTTATGATGATTGGTCAAATTGATAGATTAGAGAAATTTGTTGTTTTTTTGCACATGATAAGAATAAAGAGTAGTCATAAATAAAATCAATTAATTTATGACAATATAATATTAATGTGTATTTACAAGCAAACAAATTTTGGATAGTCTTTTATATAGTGATGGTGCTACCTATTATTTTAAGATATGAATGTTATTATATTTTTCAATTATTTAATTTGTCTAGATGTCTAGAAGAAAATAATTAGCATGTTGTCCAGACAAGATTGTTGTTAGTTCTTTCACCAACGCTTCTAATTATTGCGAGTTATTAAGTGTCAACTGTGAACAGACACTTAAGACAGGAGTAGCCACTCTCAACACATGTTCCTCGATTACGATACCGCCATTTCAAAAGAGGTTCCTTTAAAGCCAGGACTATTTCCTAGAAAGCATCTTGCTTATTGAAAGTCTGACCATTCGATGTAAGTTTTTTTTTCATGCACTACTAAAAAATAAAGAACAATTAATAATTGTATTTGAACTTGTAAATTTATAATAAATATTTTATTTTAAATTTAATTTAATTTTCTTTAACTATTTTCTGTTTTTGTTTAATAAATTTTAAAAAATATATATTTTTAAAAATATTATTGATGGTCTTTCTGATAGACTAAGTCTATTGGTATATCTTAGAGAATTAAAAAATAATCATAACAAATACCATTGTGTCACTATTTAATCACCAATGATTTTATTTTATCGATAATATTAAGAAACCTCATTGTTAGCATTAATGATGGGTTTTTTTTTGTGTGATATATGAAAGTCACCGATGATAATATCAACTAATCAAAGTGGGTAATTTTTTTTGTTTAGTGCCTTTTGTTCATTTGTAAATTTGTTGTTAGTTTTATTACCGATGAACTCATTGATAAATCATAAATGATAGTTTTTTTGATGAAATTTTTCCATCTATAAGCTTGCCAGTAAAAGTCATGCTGACGGACTCACTTTTTAACCACCAATGAAATATTTTGCCCATAAGTTGAAAAAATTTGATAGTTCTTTTTTTGTAAATTAATGGTCGGTGAAACTTAATAAAAAGAAAAACATCTATGCGATGTGGTCAATGTTAAAATTGTTAGGCTAATATAAATTTATTTTAAAGTTTTTTATTTAAAATTATTTTTAATATGTTATAAGTTTTATAATAACTAAATAATTAAAAGTTTAAATTCATTATCTTTATTTTTTTAATAAAATTAAATATAAGTTAGTTATAAATGCATGGACGTCTTAAGTTTAAAAGATAAAATTATTTTTGAGCAACAATTAAAATTTTGCATGGATGAGAAAAACACAGTAGTAACAAGTATCATTGTGTGCATGTTTAGTATTATGGTGCAATATACTTTTTAAAAATATTTTTCACTTAAAAATATATTAAAATAATTTTTATATTATTTTTTTACATTATTACATAAAAAATACTAAAAAACATTAATTTAAACTTTTTTTAGGTGTATATAACCAGGTCCTATATATGTATTTTTCTTTTTTATATTTAGAATCTACTAGATAGCATACCAGCATGCTGCAGTAGGCTAATAGAGTAAATGTGCTTAATAGTGTTATAATTTCATACCAGCACTAGATAAATAATAAAAACTAAAGATGTGATGAAACCAATATTTCATGAGAAAAAAATTTGTGTGATGATAAAAAAAACTTAGAGGCTGAATAGAATGAGTTATAGCAATTTATAGTGTTTTATGAGAAAAGTTATAGTACTTTTCCCGTATGATTTCACTTTTTGCTACATAATTTAGTTTTTCTGTTAATAAAAAAAAACATCACAAAGCTAAATTCTCAACCAGCTGAATATTAAAAAAAATCAAAAAAGTTAATTTTAGAAAAAATCAAAAACAAAAAATAAAACCATGTAGAGAAACATTGTAGCAAATCATAATGTTTTATGAGGAAAACTACAACTATAATTCTCAATTAGTTCAATATAAAAAAAAATCAACAATTAAATTTTTTTAAAAAATCATTAAAAAACAAAAAATATCATAAAAAACAAAAAAAAAAGTGTGGAAAAACACTATAGCAATCCACAGTGTTTTAAAGAAAAAAGACTATAAAGCTAAATTCTTAACTTGCTCAACATTTAAAACATATAATTGACAAAGATAATTTAAAAAAAATAAAATCATAAAAAAAATAAAATAAAAAAAAACCATTTAGTAAAATACAGTAGCAATTGACAATATTTTGTGAAGAAAGTTATAGTTGTAATTTTCAACCTGTTCAATATAAAAAAAATAAAATCGACAAAGATAATTTTAAAAAAATTATAAAAAAACCATGTGGGGAAGCACTATAGCAATTCACAGTGTTTTAAATAAAAAAAATTACAAAGTTAAACTCTCAATTAACTCAATATTAAAAAAATAAAATTGACAAAGATAATTTTAGAAAAACATCATTAAAAAAACCATGTGGGGAAAAACTATAGAAATCTATAATATTTTAAAGAAAAAACTATAAAATTAAATTCTCAACTAGTTCAATATTAAAACAATAAAATAGATAAAGATAATTTAAAAAATTCATTAAAAAAATAAATCTTAAAAAAAAATATAATGAAACAACGTAAGAATTCATAATATTTTTTAAAAAAGTTACAAAGCTAAATTTTGAACAGTCAATATTAAAAAATAAAATTAACAAGATAAATTTAAAAAAATTCATCATAAAAATAAGTATTATAAAAAAATAAAAATTAAATTAATGTAAAATACATTGTAATAATCTATAACCCATGTTTTATTGTTTTGTTAACTGGTATGAAGGAATGGGTTTGTTCATCATGGTTATAAGAACACGAAATGACTGTGTTGCAATAAACAGCCGACAAATAAATTCATATAACTGGCGCCGACACTTTGGTTTTTGCACAGAAAAAAAGATTCCTTCCAATGTCCATGTCTTTATACCATATAAAGTGTATGCTAAATTTGCTTGCATGTAAATTCCTTTTTCTTATAAGAAAATTTAGCTTCTGTTTAGTAAAGCATGAAAATTGTTTTTTCAAAATATTTTTCTGTAAATTTGATTTTTGGATTCCTTTTGAATTTTTAAATATTTATATAAAATCATAAAAAAAATATTTTAAAAAATAAAATCTATATATTGATTTTTTTTATAAAAAAATTCAAACTCAGCTTGAATTAAAACACCCTAACTCCAGTATAAATTGACTTTTCATTTTCATTTTCATATTTCCCGGGACAATAAAAATATGTTAAGATTTATAATTCATTCTTTTTATGCCTTGTTATTTAGTTATTCTACAAGAATAATTAAACTGCCATTTCCTTTTTCCGTCGTAATTTCATTCGAAATTGCAACATAAAATATATACGAGAATTAATATATAGTTAAGAATGGAAGTTTGTACTAGAAAGTCTCATACACAAATCTAGAAAGGATACATATATACATATATATATCTTATTGTGTAGAACTTCGTATGTGTTGAAAAAAGAAGTGCTTAATTATGAGGCTATTTTCTCAATTGAAGCACATTCAATGCAAAGTCTAACTTTTAGGCTCTCATCCATGTTCTTTTATGATCAATAATTAGCTAAAAGTACTAAATTGATCTTATCAGTCTATATTAGAATCACAGAGTTGAGGCTATTAATTTCCTCGAGTTGCTGCATCAATGGGAGTAAACTATAGGAACTTACAGCAATGATCAAGCTGAAAGACTTTTCTAAAGGTTCCAAACAGTTAGCTTCATAATGTGTATGTCTTCAAGCAAGGGTGAGCTCAAGAGAAACATCATTCACATCTGAACTATCCTTTGCTTTGCCCAGCTTCAAAAAAGACTCGGAAACTTTTGATTTTAGGGATAAAGTCATCCTGTCACCATCTATTCTCTGTGCAATCTCGTCTAATTCTTCTAAACTTTGATTACTTTTATTGCAACCCGTGGCCCCTGCCGACGTCTTATCTTGGTCATTTGTCTCCTGAAATATATATCAAATGGCATGTGCTCAGAACTATGAATTAATAATTTTCTAGATGTCCAACTTTTTTTTTTTCTTTATTTGATGTCAAGATTGGTTTCATGCAAATTTAACAAAGAAAGCATTCAAACAGGAAACCTCTTAAGAAATGGGCAAGCGTAAAAAACGTGTAAGAACCAGTTGAGCTACAAGTTTATTTGTCGTACTGGGTTTAATGTCATAAAGATGTCGAAATATATCAGTACTTGACAAGAAGTAGAGAGTTTACTGTGCCATTGCAGCTCTTGAGTAGATCCTTGAAGATAATGTAATTATCAGGTTTCTGCTCCCACTCCTTGCTTGTTTTTTCTTCATGTAAGAATGGTTCATTCACTTTCTTTCCAATCCACAGCCCTTCCCTGCAAAGATATCCGCATATAGCCACAAATGGTTATTTTGATTCTTATTAATTCTGACCAAAAGGAAAAATCATTACAAAACAACAAGATGACAAAGAAAATAATGTAATGAGTAGAAAAGGAAGAGAATAACACCTCATCTCATAAGTGAAAATTTTGACTACCACTAAAAGTAATATTCTTTCTCCTTAACTGATTGTGATGGTCAATTGGGACTTGAATCACTCAACATAATTTACTTTCCTACTTCATTCCATTCAAATTGTGAGCACGATTTAATATAGCTTTTGGTTATATATATATATAAAGACAGCAGATATAAAAAATCATTAGAGCTATCATACTATAAACCCACAAAAAATTCAAAACAATATCACAACATGAAACAATTAGATATATACAAGCCACAAAATCACGTATTCTCCCCGCACCTTGTTTTGCAAAGTTACGAGCCATATACTTCCAACTTCGTTCTTCAACAAAAACATGCTGCTATCTTTTTTTTTAATATATCTTGACTCTTTTATTATAAGATACTAACTAATAATCTGTATAATTATTGGAACTATGTTATGGAGAAATAACATAGTTATTGACCAATATTATCTGTATTTTTTATGTATTCAGATAATTATTAATAATTGAATAAATGTACTCCCATTATTAATTAGTATAATTATTGGAACTATGGTATGGAGAAAAAGATTGAAATTTATGAACCTTTGAGATGTCAAGAAGCTAGCATTTCTTAGGGCAAACCCATTAGCAGGATTGTGAGCTCCACGGCCTTGATGGAGAAGTGCATTGTTATTGACCAATCGCTTGCCATTTAACTGACGATTCTGTTGGCAGCACATTGTATGCGTCAAATAATTTGAATGATGAATCTCAGGCTCCTTACCATTCTTCTTTGCTTCCATAGCCGCTTCTGCACCAAGGAATCATACATGAGGCTAAAAGAATGATAGTAATAGGATGAAAAGATGTGGAAAGCAATGCATCTTGTTGTTAAATAATTATCTCAACTAAAATTGTTATATTTTTTTTATATTGAGATTTAATTAGAAACTTTATTAATCAAGTTAATTCGGCATCATGTAAAAAACTCATTTTGATTTAAGAACTTAATTGTTAAAGTAGTTTTTTTAAAAAAATTATTCTATATTAAATTACTGACCCCTTTTAAATGAAGAAAATGAATTTCTTTATCATGGAGTTGCTCTTTTTGTTTACAGAACAAGTCGAAAAAAGGGTCCAAAATAAGCTACTGAATATGGTAGCCAAGCATGATACCCTTGTCTAATCACTGTTGCAGCTTTACTATAATTCTTCTTTTAGATGATAACTCTCTGACATGGAGCACAAAGGGTACAAAAATTATTTTCAGAACAAAGGGAAAATAATTAACTGACATGGTGACCATTGCCTTCCTGAATGACACTGTCACAACCTATTTGAGTTTTCAGCCGGAGTTATTACCTTGTCTGTGTTGCCAGAATTAATAGCTAATAATACATTTGTTACATACCTTGTGTCATCTGCTCATGCTTCATGCTCCTGTACATCTGACCACAAACATACCAAAGCTTTTACTAAAACCTCTAAAGGAGATTCAAAGGCAAAATATTTTTCTCAAGGCAAATTTGATCATAGCCAACCTGAAGATGGCTCTTTACGTGAGATATGGTAAGGCCCTTCACATCCATGATTTGCAAAACCATCTTTGGGGTGGCCCCTGTATATGAGAATTCAATATTTTTTATATACAATATTTATGAACTAGAAATTAATTATAAAGTGATGTGAAGGGCTTGTAAATAACAAGATAACTTACGGTCTTCTCCACCGAGCCTTTCAACTGCATGCACAAAGCAGTGATGAAGATCAGGTGCCCAGCGAAGCCTGGGCATTTTCGATCGAACATAAGGCCTAACAGTGGCTGATTTCATGTTTTTTTCTTGCAAACTACCAGCTACACCTCTCTGAGTAACTCTTATATCAAGAGAAGATGATGGAGACCCTTTATTTGGAGAGCTCTCATTTTCAACTTTCTTCATTGCCTCTAGGATTCATCAGGAAGAAAGATAGAGACATATAGAGTGAAGATGAGCTGGTCTATGCTAACACAAAAGAGAATAAATACTAAGGAGACTCAGTTGCATAATTTCGTCATTATGTGCAGCTTTTTTTCTTTTTATTTATTATTTATTTATTATTATTATTATAAGGTCAGTTTAGGCATTGTGGGGGGTTTTTTTATTAGAAAAGTAAGAAATTGGGCTGAGAATATCAGAGACTTGCGTTCAAAATTGCGTTGATGATTGGGTGAAAATGAAAAGTGAAAAAAATAAATTGAAAAAGCACTTGAATAATGATGATATCATTTTTGTGTGCATGTATGACATTCTTTGAGCCATATCTAGACATTCGTTACAAGAGATATTCTTGGATGAGGGGATTATCTTTCGGGCTCAAGAGTTGCAAAAGGATTTTGAATTTATTCAAGAAATGGAAAAGGGGAGTCATTAGACTTACCATAAATTACATTTTCATATCCATGGTGATTAAATTTTCTTCCTTAATGAGGAGGTTTGTTAGATTTTAAGCTACAAATTATAGGAATATTGTGGATATTTTTTTATTTGAATCTATCTTTTATTATAACTATTTAGAGAAATAAAAAGAATAATCTATTTTTTAAGTATATATAAAAGGAAGTTGTTATTTATTTCCTATAATCAAAGAGTAAAAATAAAACCCAATATGTTAAGGTCTTTACATATATATATTAAGATAGATTTTCGAAAAGAAAATACATAAATTACAAAAAAAAAAGAATTATACAATGCTTTTTTCTTAAAAAAAAAATTCTTTGATACAGGTGAAGTATGCTTTCTAATTACATTGATCGCATAACTCTTTTCTTTTAAAGATTTCCTAACATCATACTAAATCTGATGAAAAATTAAATGATTAAATAATTGAAATTAAATCTTGGACCTTTTACAGTCCTCATTTTTTTTCCCCTCATTCTTATCGCTGCTTGTATTGTTGCAAATCAAGATATTCTTGATGAGATCATGTCCAATATTTGGTCAAATAAAACAAAAGGGAAGCCTCTTGGAATAGCAAACTAAGCATGCCAGCAGCCATTCCCAGAACAAATCCCCACGCCCAATTGCCTAAACCAAACGTTATAGCAAAGAAACGTACGCACAAGAAGAAAATTCACAACAAAACAAGGAAGACATAGGCATTTGAAAGTGAAAAACATGGGCTCATGACCTAAGCCTTTGCATGACCTTGAGGAAACATACCAAGAAACCCTCCCACACCTTGAAACGTTCTCTCTTCTTATCCCCTTTTTTTTTTAAAAAAAAAAAAACCATATATAGCTTTAGCTTCCCTTTATCTTGCCTCAAAACCCGATAATCAATGCTCCGTTGACAAGACTTTGAACCAAAAAAAAAAAAAACCATGTTTATATTAGAGATATCAGGTAGCTTTTGATTATTATATTGGATTAAAAGAGACGGAGTATTATTGTTTTGGGTTATAAAAAGATTAAAATAGTAGTGATAAAAACGATATGTTTTTTATTATTTTAAAATAAATTCATTTTATATTTTTATTTTTTAATCATTTTATTATTATTTTGAAATACTAACCATATACGATTTTAACGTAAGAATGGATGTTATTAAGCATATAAATATGGGCACGTCATGTATGGTCCAAATGGTGTAATCATTAACCGACTTCTAATACTAGTTTTATTGTATTTCTTAAAAATAATTTTGATAAAATAATAGTGCTATTAGAACAAGCGGTGCCACGTAACATGCTTGGAATATGGAGCAAATTTCCATGCACATGACACCTAGGGTTTAAAACGTCACTATTGGTGATGAGATTTTATTTTTATTTTTATTTTATATTGTAGAAAATAAAAATGATTATTTTTTATTTAATTTAGTTTTTATTAAAAGTAACTACATTGAAATTTTTTTAAAAAATCAAAATTAATTTAAATTGACCAGTTTCAGTTCAGTTTAGTTTTAAAAACAAAACCAATTCAAATCAGTTTGACTTGATTTTGACTTTTTTTTCTGGTTTGGTTCTTGTTTTAGATTTTAGCTTGTTTTTTTAGTTTGATTCAAATTTTTTTATTTTTTTATTTCAAGTTTATAAAATTGAACCGTTTAATTTTTAAAAAATTTAAATTGATTTTTTTTTATGGTTTGGTTTTTTTATTATTTTTGTTTTTAATTTTATTAGTTTAATCAATATTTTGGTTTCTTCGTTCATTCTTATTCTTAGTAGGAAGCAATACTGGGTTTTTCCATTGCCAATTGAGGCCAAAAGTGGTGAAACAAATTATGAATGTGACAAAGGGTTGGACAATTCAGAAGACGGTTTCATATTGGGAAATATTCTTTGGATGGATTTTCCACAAGCATGGACAAGTGTTTTATGATTTCGTAAGCATAATTAAATTAATGATAGAATGTAAAGAAAAAAAAACAGAGAGAGAGAGAATTCTTGGATTTTTTGTGTTTTTCCTTAGACATTAAATTATCCAAATGAATGTTAAAATTCTGTACATTTAACATTTGTGAAGGTTGCATTGTCCCAATCGTGCAACCTTAACAATTGTTTATATATATATATTGAAACAGGTTACTTTGTTGGTGGCAACATAATTAACCTCATAATTCTTCTTTTTTTATATTACCATTTATGTTAAATGGTTGCATGAACTCATGCATTATCAATAATTTTTGTTTAATGGTAAGATCAGTTATATTTAGCTTAAAGTTGGGAATTACCTAGCTAGCCTCTGTTCATGAAAGTTGGGGGGGGGGGGGGGGGGCGG